ATTTTTGTTTTTTTTTTTTTTTTTTTTTTTTTTTTTTAGAGAGGTTTTTGCTATAGGGTGCGAGTGCTCACCAGAAAGACAGACACTCCCTTCTCCTCCCTTCTCCTCTTGGGATCTTGGGCACATATGCACATGCACCTGGCATGAGTTTAAGCCATCCGGTCCAGGACATGAACTGCAGTCAGCTATGTGGGAGTTCAGCGACATAGCCATTACACTAACTCCTGGTCCCTCTAGTTTTATTTTTAATGTTTAATCGATAGGATAAGATTTTGAGGTCACTGAGTAAAAATTTTATATAAAAAGTTACTGAAAGAGGGACCAGCAGATGGTGTAATGGTTACTTTTCTAGACTTCTATGTAATTGACTGTGGTTTGAGTCTAAGACCCAGCTACCAGCCTCTTAAACGTCATGCCAGCGTGTATGTGTACTTACCAAAGTCCCAAAAGGAGAATAGAGGAAAAGGGATTGTGGTGTGGCCATCCCCTGGCGGGGGAGGGGTGATTTCTTGCTTTCTCTTTCTCTGTCTCGTTCTATGTCTCCCGTGAGCCCATGTGCCCTATGACAGAAATCTCTTAAAAAAAAAAAAGAAAGAATTTTTGTCATATTTCTATATTCATTAATTTATTATCTCTCCACTACCATACAGTTGTAGATAGAAATATGTAATCAGAGATTTGTTTTTCTTTTTGTTTTTTAGATTTAAAGAAAATCGAAAGGATGACATTTGGCTCGTAGATGTGAGTATATTAATTTTAATTCTAATCACCCACCCTATCATTTTAAGTATTATTTTCTAATTTCCTCCAAAGAAGGTGATATACAGGTAGTGTTTATGTATATTTTCAGTTTGTTTTCTCAGTTATTACTACTTGGATTAGTATATTAAAATGAAGCTCAGGGGACCAGCAGGTGGCGTGGTGGTTAAGGCGCTGGACACTCCCACATGGCCAACCAGGGTTCGAGTCCTGAGTCTGATGGCTTGCTTTCTCACTTACGCTCTCTCTCACTCACCCTCTGTCTCTCTCTGGTCAAAATAAAAAATAAAAAAAAATTTTAAAAAAATGAATGAATAAATAAAATAAAATAAATAGTTATTTAAAAAAAAAATGAAGCTCAGAGCTTTAGAGGTTCCTGACAAACGAATTTATTTGGGATGAACTTCTGGAGCCAGGGGTATTAACAGGGAAGCTGGTAAATTATAAAGAGGTTTACTTGTGAATTAAGTCTGGAGGGAGTTATGGTTTAGTTTCACTACAGAATTCACTATTGCTCATGTTTTCAAAGAAATTAAGTATATTATCATTTAGTAGTCAGAATCATACTTTGATCTTTATAGTAAAAAAAATTACATTTTTCATCATCTTTTCCTCACCTTGGAGTTTGGAATATTTAAACCTTATGACATTTGGATTTGTTTTAACAAGGCTCCACAAAAAGAGCAACAGGCAGCTATAGAGATGGAACAGGAATGGCAGAGTTGATTATTGAAGTGAGATTATGGGACATGAGAGTCCATTGTTCCTTTCTCCTTTAGAGCATGTTTGAACATTTCCATAGTGTAGAGTTAGAAACAAACTTTATTTTGTGAGAATATAACAAGCAGCTTTTCTACCACTTAACTGTACAAACCTATGTATCACCCCCCAACCTGGTGATTCTGATGAAGAATAATGGGCTGTGGTTTTAGTCGATTCAACCTGATGTCCCTGTGTCAGACCAGACCTCCTACTCTCTATTTCCCAGAGGTTACGGTGAAAGTTAGCAAAGGCCCCGATTGTGCTGCATTGTTGTAATGGAACTTGATTGATACTGATCGTTAACACAGGATGCGCGTGTGGCATGTGTATGTATCTTTGGTGGTTTCTTTTTATATAGAACATAGACACAATCACTTGGAAGCAAAGTCACTTATTTTAAATTGTGCATCTTTGTAAATAGGTGTCATTGATCTTTTAAAATGAACTTAAAATGGTATTAGTTTTGAGGTAGGTACCGGGAATTGACCTATACGTAGATTGTTATGTATATTTAATCTTTGGCTATGTAACCATTTATAAAAAGTGTATATCACGTTTTTGTCTAAAACAGATTAATAGCAGACCATTTAATTGAAGAGATTCTTTTAACATTAACTGATACTTCACAGCAAAATATTTTAGGGATTGTCTTTCTTTTTTTGAACAAGTTTTATGCACCGTGGTGTGGCCATTGTAAAAAACTGGAACCGATTTGGAATGAAGTTGGTCTTGAGATGAAAAGCATTGGTTCGCCTGTTAAAGTTGGAAAGATGGATGCCACTTCCTATTCCAGTAAGCCTTTACTACATTTATGATTTTACTGTTCTCATAACTAAAACTGTAGCTATATGCAGTGGTACTCAAGGTGCAAGGAACTTTCATTCATGTAAAATTAAAGCTATCTTAATAATTTAAGACTGTATACTTTATGAATTAAATGAATTAGCCATTGGTTATACAGTATGTATCAATAGTATTTGTAAATCTTATGCCTAATGTGAATGTGTAAGCCACTCTTCCTGTTTTGAGCCCACTTGAGATATCTCAGTTTAGATGAGACAGCTGCAGAAAGTTGAGAGTTAGACTGGATATTTCTATGTGTGTTAAGACTTGAGTGTTTGCTTTCTGTTTGAGTAGCCAGAGACATCATGGTGGAGGGAAAAATAAAAGCTTAACGGATGCATTGAGTTAGGATAAATAACAGATGAGGATCAGGAAGTGTTCGCTTTAGAAAGACTAATAGATATTAGAGCAAAATCAGAGAGTTGAAAATGAGCTTAGTGAGTGTGCAGCAGAGAGCAGGATGAAGCCATGGTGGGCACACTACTCTGTCTTACTGCTGGCTTCTGTAGAGATGTGTTGGAACACACCCACACTCAGTTGTTTACGTTGTCTGTGACTGTTGTCTCCAGGGGCAGAATTGAGTATTTCGATAGAGACTATATACCCCAGAAAGTACAAAATCTGTATTATCTGACCCTTTATAGTACAAATTTACCATTATCTTTCTTAAAGGATTTGGAAAAAGAAGAAAGTTTAAAAAGTATGAGGTCTCATAGAATTTGGAAGGAACATGGCCTCAGTAAGCAGACAGGCCTCAAACCCAGCTCTGCCTACTGCTTTACTGTGCCACCCTGGAGATATTCTGACTGCCCAAGGCTTTGGTAAACATTTCATCATAATGCTGCCTTTATTGATTATTTTGAAGTTTGAACGATGTGGCACATATAAAATCCTTTGCACTTAATAAATGTAGGTGTCCATGTCCTTCAGTTGATGAAGAAAGTGGAAATGTGTAATGTACAATTTCTTTTTAGGCATTCGACACTATACTGTGGGCTGTGCTTCGGAGCAAGATACACCTTAGTTTTAATTTCAGTTCTGCCCTGTCCTACTTTTGTGGCTTTGGAAAAGAACTTTGCTTCTCCTAATTTTAATGCCCATGTCTGTAAGGGAGAATGGTAATCCTCAAAGTTGTGAGGATTGCATTAATATTTTATATTCAAAACCCCTAAACCCTCGGTGTACTGGCCTGCAAATACATGGTGCTGAAGGTTAATGCCGGATTGTAGGAACCTTCAGGTCAAGCAAAGTGCTTTGGATTTATCAGTTGTGAGTAGGGAGGTAATATGCATTTTTCACCACGTTTTTGGTCAAATGAATGACTTGATAAGAATTTTTTTTGCAGCAGCTGGCAGGATGGTAAGAACAGTAGGCAGAGACAGGAAGATCATCTAAGTGAACTTCTGTAATGCATCCTGGAGAAAGCTGCTGGGAGGCCAGCTTGAGGGGTGCGTTGGTAGAAAGAAGTGGAGATGCTAACTCCGGTGTTTGCAAGTGAAGAGTGATAGGTTGACTCTGTTCTGTAAAGAACAGTGCACATAACTATAAGATTCTTAGCATAGTTGGTGAATTGTTTATGTGGAAAAGAAGTGTGTGTGTGTTTTTTTCAGATTACCAGCTATTTTGAATTTGTGGTCCTTTGTTTTCTAGATGTTGTGACTAGGGAACTTGATGCAGGTGATACACTAGAGCTAGACATATTCACACAAGTGAGTTGTTGAACATGGTGGGTTGAACAGGTAAATAGCAGGAGAGTACTGCTCAGGTGACTATTTTTTAAAATAAGCTCTTAGTAATGTTTAAAAAGTTACCAATTTCAGCTGTGCTCATGAAAGTGTTCTTGTGTCTAGACATGTGTATTGATTAGACATGATACACATATTTATCCATAGATGCATTCATTCATTTACTTGATCAATATTTACTTATTAGCTCTTGTTTGTCAAGCCCTGTACTAAAATAAAATAGTCTCTAGAGATTAAAGAAAGATCCAAAAAAAAAAAAATCCTGCCTATCCTGGAAATGCTTATATCCTAGTACAGGTCTGAGTAAGATGGGTAAACCAATAAATACAGTAACACCCTATACATGGTAGAATCCTGTGACTCCTTGAATCACTCAGTGGCATAATAGAGTCACATATAAAGGAGTATAGGAATATAAAGAAAACTAGTCCTTGAGAAAGTGTATGGTACACATAAGTCTGTAAAAGTCTTAATGGTTTACTGTTCATGCGAAGCTTTGGTACTGCACATCAGGGCAGAAGTTCTTTATGCAACTTCTGATTCATGGTTTATTACTCAGGTTTTATCAAATGCCGCTATGTGCTACTACTCAGTAAGGGGTGCTGTGACTGAGGGAAAAACAGCTCAGATTTTTCTTTCCCAAGTAGCTTTAGGATAAAGTGTTTCAAATGCTGTGACTAAAAACCAATACTCTCCCTTTTTTAAGTTTATTTATTGGGATTAGGGTGAGATGGGCAACAGCGCCTCACCATGCTGTGTCTCCCACAGCCTCCCAGCAGCCAGGGGCACGGGCGCACTCAGCTTGTCTAGGTGTTTGCTGATCTAAACCCAGGCCCCCGACAGCGCTCTAGTGTGGCTCAGTTGCTCCACGCCTGTGCCTCAGTGGCTGGGCCATAAAAATCAGTACTCTTTTAGATCTTTGACTTCATATACAGTTTACAGCTTTTTAGATACTTTACAATGGGACTTTTATTAAAATTTCATTTTTGAAAAATCACTCAGATTTAATTTTTGCTTCTAAGTCCAAGATTGTTCTAAATTATTTCTTGTTCAGTTGGCATCGTGTTATAAATTGTTTTGAATTAACGGGAGAAGAACACCTCTGTAGAGGTTGCAATGCAGGAAACACACATGTAGCACTTTATCTCAAGTGAACCAGCCAGCTTTGAAAAACAGGGAACAGGGACCTGATACGTACTGAGATCCACCAATACACTGCAGTAGGTGCTTTAGATATTTAATGTAATTTACCCTTTGGATATGAAATTTAAATCTCCATCACCCCCTTTCCCATCTTTACTTAGTCTTGCTTATAAATCTTCGTGGCTACTTGAATCATCCTAACATGGCTTACTGAAAAAAAAAAAAAAATCTACTTTGAAGAAAAATGGAAGTCAGCTTTCACCTAGTGGATACTTGCTGGGTGTTTACCTTACCAGGCATGTTCTAGGCATTTGTAATACATCTCTCATCACCGAGCAAAACAAAGATTTCTCCTCTCCTGAAACCTACATTCCTGGCAAAAACCAAACAGTAACCAGTAAACATGTGTAAATTGTCTAGAGTTGCTGCTTAGTGCTTGCTGTCAATGATGGATACGTTAGACACTTAAAATATAGCATCAAAGAGATACTTTATGTGCTGTGGAGTAGGAGAATATCTTGTAGTATTTAAACAATGTTGGTTAAGTATCCAGAAAGTAGAGATCACAAAAAAATTTGGGCTTATTAATTGTTTCTTTAATTTCTCCAAGACAGTTCAAATGCATGCACTTTAATAGAACTTGGAATCAATCAGATTAAGAAATTGAATGTTTTTTTGGGACCAGTAGATGATCCAATGGTTACATCCCTGAACTCCCACATAGTGGACCATGGTTCATGTCCCAGACCCGACAGTAAAAACTCACACCGGCTGCGGGTGCATGCATGCCTAAAGTCCTGAGAGGAGGATGGAGGAGAAGGAATTGCTGTGCATTCTTTCCCCCCGGGTGGGGGGTGTGATTTCTCACTTTCTGTCTCTCCGGCATCGTATGTGCCCTATAGCAAAAATTTCTCTTAAAAAAAGAAAAGAAAAGAAATGGAATGTTTTTAAGCAAGCCATCTGTCAGTATTCTTTGTCTACCTATATGTCTACTGCTAAAGGATGGGCTATTTCATAGACATCTCTTCCGTCCCCTAGGCTGCTTTGCAGGCAGTCAGGATATCAGTATCTCTCTCCATAGGTCTGTAGGCTGCGTGTCCTAGGGTTACTACCCAGGGACCTGTCATTTGTTTAGATTCTGAAAGCCCACACCAGCACTCCCAAGTAAAGTCTTTGAGACTGGGTGATGAGAACCTGCATTTTCAGCATGTCCTTCAGATGATTCTGTTGCATGCTTACGTTGGGGAATCACCAAGTAGAGTGTTACTTTGTTGGATAGATGGTTATAAGATCTTAGTGGTGACTCCAATGGCATAGGGGCATTCAGACTGATCAAGTGTAAAAGCTCTGTAAGAATCTGTCTTTAATATACTTATTTTTCTCTCACACAGTTGTGGTTGAAAACAAATGCCTTCAGACTCAATCCAGCAGATCTCTTTGAACTTTTTTTAACCAGACAAAATTAATTTTAGGATTTACTCTGCTCTGTGTTTGGAATTGTGTCAAAAATTTCTTGATGCACACTTTCAAGTAATAATACTGTAATCAGGTAACAAAAAAAGTCTGTGAAATGGCCAGCATAAGTTTAGATATATATTTTAGCTTCTCTTTTTGTATCTGCCCTTCAAAAATGGGCACTGAAAATGTTTCTCATGTCCAAGTTAAGTTAGGACATAATGCTGCTTGTAATGGTATGCCAGTTTCTGTTGCGGAATCGGTGAAACTCTGCTTACTCTCTAAGCGAAATGGAACATTTTTTAATAGCACAGATTAAGAAATTGAATATTCTTTGGGACCAGCAGATGATCTAATAGTTATATCCCTGGACTCGTGTGTAGTGGACCACGGTTCAAATTCTGGTTCAAACTCCTGATTTTATGCCTAAAATCCTGAGAGGAGAGTGGAGGAGAAGGGGTTGCTGCGTGTTCTTTCCCCCAAATTGGGAGGTGTGATTTCATGGATATTCATCTGTCTTCCATGTATAAACTTTCAGTAGCATTTGGCCAGTGACTTCTTATTCTAGTCTTGTTAGGGTTGCAAATTAATTTTACCTTTCTAAATTATAAGCTCTTTTTTTTAGTTAATGATTATATTTCAGGGTTTCTCAATCTTGCATTATTGACATTTGGGGCAGGATAATTCTGTGGGCAGGTGTGGGAGGTGTGGGGGCAGTTATTCATATGCAATGTAAGATGTTTAGCAACATCCCTGACCTCTACCCAGTAGGTCCCGTGTCCTCCCTTCCTATCCCCCATTTCTGGCTGTGGTAGCCACACTGTCTCCAGGTGGTTGCAAACCACTGCTGTGTTTTATGCCCTTTTCAAGTTAGACAAATAGTAATGCAATACTAAGAAAAACAGTATTTTGAGCTGAAAATAACTTCAGAGATTGAGTCTAACTTCTCACTCTTTTTTTCCCATTTCCATTTTATAAATCAACAAAATAACTAGAAGTGGAAAAACTGTTTCACACATTTAAGTTAGAGGCAGAATTAGGCTTACAATCAAAGATTATTGTGATTCCCATCCACACCTGTCTCTACCATCAAGACACTATAATTTCAGAGAAAATGACAAGTAGAGTGCTTTGTGCTTAATATTTAAAATTGCAAAATCTCGGGGAATTCACTCATGTTGAAATGGATTTTCAGTTTGTGAAGGAGTTGATTGCAGGAGTCTATAAAAAAACATTTTTCTCTAATATGAAAAATAAAGGATAAAAACATTAAGTCACATAGACCGAGTTTCTTCTCAGCACTTGTATTTAATCCATTCTTGCTTTCAAAGAAATAACCAAATTTACCAACATTTTAGTTTCTTTAGCTAGATTAGCACCATTTATTTTCACATTTAAAATACCACTCACAGCCCTACAAGATGAGTGGTATCTGCAGAAAGGTAAACAAAATTGGAAAAGTATGGGAAGATTTTCCAGAGTTGCAGAGATGATAAATGGAGCAGTAGGAGTTCTGGCCCACGTCGTTGTGTGTCTGTGACCTGCTCTTTGCTTGTGTGCTCTGTTTTTATTATACCATCCTTCCCCCCTAGGAAGCTAGGCCGAAGTTTTAAGAATCGTCGTCAGTTAAATTCTATCAGAAATGAAGGTTGATGGTCAAGGAGCCAAGGGCTGAAGAGTGAGTGATACAATCTTCTGGATCCAAAAACTGAAATCAAGGACATTAAGTGATAGGGTTAAGTGTGGGGCTGTGGTTTTTGTCTCTGAAGCCTACTATAAGATCCCAGCATCAGAGTATACCCCTCACTGTATCTCGCCGTTTATTGTGTACTTCCTTTTTTTTTTAAATTTATGTTCAAATAAAGTTGGGGACAATTTAAATGACTAAAGGGACTACTAGTGGAATATAACCTTTCCCTTCCAATCAATCTAGTACTCTTTATGTTCTGGTGGTTTTGAATATATTTTAGTTGAAGATAAAAAAGGCTTATATTTATCTGCCTCCTTAGTTTGAGAATAAAGGCGTTAAGAATAGGCTTTACACATAATCTCCCCAACATCACATCCGTGATTTTGTTTGGAAGAAGGTGATTTCCATAACTGCAGTCCTTTCCTATTAGAGTGCACTTGACAGAATTCAGAATTCAGTCCTGTGTTGGGATGGGCACAGATAAATCATGTAGTTGCTGTAAGTTCACATGACTGTGCAGAGCCAGGACCTGTCTTCAGACCTCGAGTTCTTATTTGTGACTCTTGTTTGCACTGGCTCTTAGGAAAATAAGTTTCGGTCCTTACCCCAGAGCTTCCAGTCACTTCTCTCCATATTGTTTAAAAGGGAAACTCTAGAATTGTCAAAGGAAGTTGGAGAGGTTTTGATATATGTCATTATTCTTTTGAATTGGTAAAGAGTGGTGAGAAACAAAAAATTAATGGAGATTATTATGGTGATTGCCCGACTATAATGTGTGTACCCAAACGTGATAGTACCCTGGAAATAAAGAGGGAGAGGTACACCTTGCATAAACACGTTCTTTAAGTTTTATATTGTATAACATCCATTAACTGAAATTATTTTGTCTCTTTTTTCCTGCCTGAGTTGCAGGGAAGTCGAGTTTGTAAACTAGTACAGGATTATTGTGCTATATCATTTCTGTACTTTGAAGAGCCTTCAACTCCCTATTGATTTGTGCTTGTTTTTATGACTATATCTTCTTTGTCCTCAAAAGATGACATGGTAGCACCTCTTTTTGATTTCAATTAATGTAAGATTTCAAAATAGTCTTTGTTGAGATGTTCCAAATTATTTTAGGTTGTTACAAAAGCAGTAATTCCTAAAACAAGAAGATAAATTTGCTTTTTGATCGCACATGAACTATAATAAATAATTTTGCAAATATCATATGCATTTTTCAAAATAAATACACTTCACTTCTTTGAAGATTCAGAAAGCACTAAAGGAAGAGATGAATCTTTTTAGAGGCTCATATTTGTCCTGGAAATGGTGTCAAATGAGGAATACTTTTTAAGTAAAATATTTTTTAAGATAAGTATTTCTTAGATGATTTTTAACTGTTCTTTTAGAATTATTTCAGGAAGTTCATGGCAGAAGTGGATTATATAAAGCATGTGTGGATTTCAGTTTTTTTGATATCAGATAAATTTATACTGTAATTTTATTTTTCCATGAACTTTTTGAAGGCAAGGGATTTTTTTTTTTTTTTTTTTTTTTTTTTCTTTCTTGTCAGTGTATGCTGTGTAGGCCCTGGGTTGAACATGAAGTAATTGTTTTGTCATTTTTTTTTTAAGACTTTAAAACGTCTATATGGGTTTGTATAAATATTTTTTTAAGTAAAAGGCTCATTTGTTATCTAGTTTCTCGTTTTAAAAGAAATTTAGAATTATTTATTCTTTTTCTTATCAAGGCATTGCTTCAGAATTTGGAGTTCGAGGTTATCCAACAATTAAGCTGTAAGTTGAGTGTTGTATGTTTATATGTGTATTTTTATTAGTTCACTCTACTTACGTTTTATAACATACATTCCTAGTCGCTTTCTTGGAGGTTTGACGATTTGAGTTCAGCCATTCTTTTTAGCTGAGGTACGTGATGAGAAGAGAAATTGGATCTGTGTTCTTTTATTCATTTTTAAGTACTTGTGGTGTTTACGGCTAATTCAGTGAAAATGTGACATGCACTGTACAGGACAAGGTATACAGTCATAAATTATGGAAGGTCTTTTGCCCTCGAAGAGCTCTCAAATGTATATTCTGTTTTATCAGTGTAAATCCTGCTTCCTAACAATTTTAACTTTCGTATAATTGACTTTATTTTGTTCGAAATGAAAGAAATAGAATAAAAATTGCTGGATGTTAATTCTAATGTGTAGGTATTAATCAGGTCTAGTAGAATATTGATGCTGGAAAAAAATGGTTCATGATAATTCTAAAGAACTTATTTTATAGGCATGTCGTTATGAGATTTTCTCTAATTAACCCATTTTTTTGTTTTGAGGAAAGATGGGAAATTTTCTTGAAAATTATTTTTATTCTAAAGTAAGCTTTTTGTCAATATATTAAAACCTCAAATTTCAAAACCTGGATAAATTTATCATCTCTCATGTTTGTGTTGACTTCTTTCCTTCCCCCACTTTGAAAAAGTTTCACAAAGCCTTTTGTACTTTTTGTGTTTATTATCCTTTCTTTTCTTTCTGTTTAATTATAGGTGTTCTGTTGTGCTTCCCAGTTTTTCTTTTTTTAGTTTTCCATTTATTAGGCATATACATTAATTCATTTGTAGGCTTCTGGAGATTTACCTTGTTTTCTATAAGAGTTGTTTTATGCATTGTTTTACTCTGTCATGTTAGAGCATCTCTCAAATAACTGATAATATATTGCAAAAAATTTGTTTGCCTTGGGAACCAGCAGTTAACGTAATGGCTATGTCACTGGACTCCCACGTAGTCGACTGCAGTTCGTGTCCTGGACCCGGTGGCTTAAAACTCACGCCGGGCGCGTGTGCGTGCGTGCCCAAGATCCCGAGAGGAGAATGGAGGAGAAGGGATTGCAGCGTGACCATCCCCCCTGGGGGGTGATTTCTCGCTTTCTCTCTCTCTCTGTCTGTCTGGCGAGCGCACGCGCCCTACAGTGAAAATCTCTCAAAAAAAAAAAAAATTTGTTTGCCTCTACTAATAACTCTTAATTCCTTGTCCTTTTATTTATCTTTTGACAGAGAAGATTATAAAAATTTTAATACTTTAATTATCCAAGCTCTTGACCAAAAATGTATAGTTATTCATTTTTCATACCATGAACTCTAAAATGCAGAGTAAAATATATTCATGAAATTTTAATACAGTTTTTCTCTTGACATTTGAGTTGCTAGTCCTGAAGCAGATTGCCTGGTGTTTTACATGATTATGCTACTTCTAAAACTTATCTGCATTTACTGTTTTATACACTATAATGTTATGCAACAGTAGAGATTTTCATTGAATATTAAAATAGTTAAAATAATCCAAGTTTTATCCTTTTTTTTCTTTTTTAGATTAAAGGGAGACTTGGCATATAATTATAGAGGACCCCGAACTAAGGATGATATTATTGAGTTTGCTCACAGAGTATCTGGGTAAGTTCTTATTAGGAAAGGTTTTTATGATTTTTTTTTTTTAAATAAAATATATTTTAATAAACCATATTGAATTCTTGTATCTTAGGGACTTCTCAAAATTGGTTTATTTATTTATGAGATAGGACAAGATTATATAGCAAGCATATCCAAAGATATGATTTAAAGAAACAAATGGAGATCATGATTTGTATTACATTTGTTAACCCTCACATTAAATTCACTGTAAGCAGTGAATTTTTGGTTTTTAATATTTTGATTACTTATAGCAACTTCATAATCTTCAATTTTCTTTTATGATGATTTGCATTTCTATTAACTGGTTTACTTCAATTTATTTTTCTTGTTACCTAATTTAAGCGCTTTAAGGTAGCCCTAGAATAATACTGTTCTAAATAGATTTGGACTTGCGTCTCTAGCCTGTGATACTTGAAAATGCTTTTAGATACAGCCAAAATACTGTTTCATACATCTATTCAAGTTATACATCTCTGAGGCTTATTAATAAGGAAACTACTTTTTCTATAAGTGTTTCCTGTTGATTTGTTTGTGGTGATTGCCAGGATATAAAGAAAATCAGTACTGGGACCACTAGGTGGCATAGTGGTTAAGTCACTGGATTCCCACGTAGTAAGCCGCGGTTCAAGTCCTGGACCTGAGAATTTGAAACTTAGACCATGCACATGTGCGTGCTTGCCCAAAATCCCAAAAGAAGACTGGTGGAATTGTGGCATGGCCATCTCCCTGGGGGAGTGATTTCTCACTTTCTGCCTTCCTGACAAGGACACACACCCTATAGCAAAAATCTCTGGGAAAGAAAAAAGTCAGTACTTATCATTATTATACTTGATTATGTGGAACATTTTGAGAATATTCATTAAGATAGAATTATCTATATTGGCTTTATCGTAGAGATACAGTCTTAGGAGTTTGATGAAATGTGTTATATTGATAACTTTAAATAACTTCAAGGTAAACTACGGATGTTGGGTAGCAAGGATACTGTCTCAAATCATTGGAGAAAATTCACAGAATTGGGCATTCCCTTTATATATCAAAATCTGCAATACTTATGAATAATTTTCACCTTTTTTCACTCATTGATTGTATATTTAATTTTTTATTTGTTTTGTGAATAAATTTTAAAGTAACTTTTTTTTGAGAGAGAGAGATTTTTGTTATAGGGCATGTGCATTTGATGGAGAGACACACAGAGACAGAAAGCGAGAAATCACTTCCCCTGCCAAACCCTGGGAGGGATGGCTGCACTTCAGTACCTTCTCCTCCATTCTCCTCTCAGCATTTGGGGCACGCACACACACGCACCTGGTGTGAGTTTAAGCCACCAGGTCCAGAACCTGAACCACAGTGGAGTCCAGTGACATAACTATTACAACATCTGTTGGTCCCCTGAAATAACTTTAAACAAAGGGAGTGCTCTAGGATGCACCTTATTCTCCCATGACTTATGTTTCAGCAATTTTTAGTGAGTTTTGGTTTTAGCTTAAGGACAGATTCTCCTGATGTAACTGGAGATGACTCTATTGCAGATGAAATTGCAAGAGGGACGTCTAGAGTTGCATCACTTATTAATTACTAAGTATTGAAATAGAGGCTAACCTAGAGTGATGCAATGCATCTTAAGAATTGTGCATTTTGAAAGTATGTTTGCCTTTGCAAACTACATTCAGCTCTTTTTACAGATTTGGTGGAGTGAAAATAATGATGATAGCACAATATTTCAAAGATCATCTCTTTTACTTTTTAAATTTTTTTTTATAAACAGTATATTTTATAATAACTTTTGATGTAATTCAGTTTTCAGTCTATTCAGAGTTGAAAAATGCTAGTATAATAAAACTCTTCAGTAGAGTTCTTTTTCCCCCTTTGTGAGGTTCTTATGTATTAGCATAGCTATCATTTTCCATTTTATTTTCCTGAAAATAATTAGTAACATCTTTGAAACTCTGGGCCTTTTTTTTTTTTCTTGAGAGATTTTTGCTATAGGGCACGCGTTCTTGCCAGAGAAACAGAAAGCAAGAAATCACCCCCCAAGGGGATGGCCATGCAGCATCCCTTCTCCTTCTTTCCTTGGAATCTAGGACATACACGCACATATGCCCAATGTGTTTCAAGCTGCTGGGTTCGAGACTTAAACCATGGTCAACTATGTAGGAGTCTAGTGACATAACCATTATACCATCTGTTGATCCCAGGAAACTCTTTGGATGGGTCTTAATCTCCATAGTGTACTTAAAATGTGTAGCACTTGGCCCAGCCAGTTAGTGTAGTTGGTGCCAAACTGAACTGCAGTGCTGAGACCCACATAGCTGACCATGGGTTTGGATACCAGGGTGGACCTGAAAACATACTGGGCATGCTAAGACTGTAGTAAGCTGTAGGACTGGGAAGGTGATCATGGTGTTGGGAGGTCCTGTTCAGGGTGCTTCTCTCTTCCCTCTGACTAGCATATAATGCATGTGTTTTCTATCATGAATAAAAACCCCAACTACATGGCATTTAAATTAATAGAATAAAGTATAGATATTAATTATATACTACTAAGTACTCTCGTGATAGTATTTCACAGTGTATTTTTATGAACTGTGTTTTGAAAGAGAGAAAAAGATAATTTTTTTTTTTTTGAGAGGATTTTGCTATAGGGTGTGTGCACTCACCAGAAAGACAGAGACAGAGAGATAGAAAGCGAGAAATCAACCCCCAGAGGGATGGCCATGCCACAGTCCCTTCTCCTCCATTCTCCTCTCGGGATCTTGGGCACGCACGCACACGCACCTGGTGTGAGTTTAAGCCACCGGATCTGGGACTCGAGCCGCAGTCGGCTACATGGGAGTCCAGCGACATAGCCATTACGTTAACTGCTGGTCCCGCCCAGTGTGATTTTTTCAAGCCATCAGGTCTGGGACTTGATCTATAGTTAGCCTTGTGGGAGTCCAGTACCTTAACTACCACACCACCTGCTGGCTCTGAGAAAAAGATTATTCTAATGTGAATTGTTTTGTTTTTAGTTGTAGGCTATAAATGGATAATAGTTTGGTTTTGGCCTATCAAAATATAGTTAATGATGCTGTTCTCTGGAGTGATATATTTTGAAACTGATAGATTAAATTGTGAGTAATGTATACATTTTTAATAGATAGATACAGTAGTAGTCCTAGGCTGTACGTTTATTAAATTTATAGAGTTGGTGACAAACTTAAAATGTAGTTAATATATTAGTAAAACTTTATAATTTTAGACATGATTAGTTATTAGCTGCTGTATGACTAGTAGTCAATTTTGTGCTATCTGTAGTTTGTAATGTAAGTTTGTTTTCTCTCTTGTTTTCAAACAGGGCTTTAATTCGGCCACTTCCAAGTCAGGAAATGTTTGAGCATGTACAGAAGAGACATCGTGTCTTTTTTGTTTATATAGGTGGAGAATCACCTTTGAAAGTATGAAATAATTTTATAATTCATAAAAGCAGATGTGTTCTATTTAATTTGCTAAATGTATAGCTACTATATCACCAAAAACTCAAAACTTACTTGTTATTATATTTATGTTCAGCCTAAGTATTTTTCATTAACAAAAGCACTTTCCTGTGTACCTGAATAAAAGGTATACATTTCCTTAATAAAATCCCCAACTATATAGCATTTAATTGATAGAGTAAGATGTAAATATTTTTCTTTTTTTTTTAAACAATGGTTTTATTTACTTTTCTTCTGTTTGACCAGAGAAGGACAGAGGTAGAGAAAGTGAGAAAGCAAACTGCCAGGTCTGGGACTCTAGCCATGGTTGTCCATGTGGGAACCCAGTGCCCTTAACCACTGTACCACTTGCCAGCACAATAAGATATAACTATTCTCACCTTGTTCTTACTTTGCCTTTATCAAATAGAAGTGAATAAGTAGATGTTTCCTGCCTTACTGTTTCCTCTATTATGGACCTGGTCGCTTAAATCTCATGCTGCTTTTTAACATTTTGAGTTTTTGAGGTTGCAAACTACCATTTGAGTGTAAAGTTTTTAAAGACAAAATGACTTACTGTCTTAAGCTTATTTTATGTGTCCGTGTGTGCATATGTGTCCACACATACATGCACACATACTTTCTTGTAGTCCTTAACATCATTTTTTGTAGACATTGTTAATCTAATTTACAATTAATAAGTATGAATGGAACTTATGTTTTAGTTTATGAACTTTATTTGGAGGAATACTGTTTAGTTATAATGGTCTTTTGCCTTAGAAACAATTTATTTTATTTGCTTATATTTTACCTTTTCGTGTAAAAGGGCATAAAGTAGCAAGTGATGATGATGTTTACTTACTGCGTAAGGTAGCTTTGTGTAATGAGAAATAAATTTTGATCATTAATTAGTATTTTAAAATGGCCTTTTTAGAGGGTGGCAGGGTAGCGTGGTGGTTAAGATGCTGGACTCTCACATGGGTGACTACAGTTCAAGTCCCAGACCTGGCAGTTTGGTGTTTGGTTTCTCACTTTCCCTCTCTCTCTCTCTCTGTGTCTTTATTTATAAGATAAATAAATTAATTTAATAAACAATTATTTAAATGACTTTTTTTGTATCTTTGTAGGAAAAATACATAGATGTTGCTTCAGAATTGATTGTGTACACATACTTCTTTTCTGCCTCTGAAGAAGTGGTTCCTGAGGTAAGATTTAAAATTAGATTTTAATAACATAATTCATTCCTTAAATTGTTGCTTAATTTTACTATCACATTTATTCACTGTGATTATTGTGATATTTAAGCACGTGCACCCTATGGCGAAAACCTAAAAAAATTTTTTAAAAACGTCATAGGTCATGTACATTTGCCAGAGAGAGACAAAGAGTGAAGTCACCGCCTGGGGGTGGCCTCACCACAGTCCTTTCTCCTCTTGGAATTTTGGATGGGTATGCACTCACATTGTGGTTTTTAAAGCCCTTGGTCTGGGACTCAAACTGGTGCACCATGTGGGACTCCAAGGCCTTAACCACCATGCCACCTGCTGTCTCCTTTAATATTATCTTTTAACAAGGTTACAGAATTACCCAGTGTATGTCTTTAATACTTTCTGCAGTGTATTTAGATGTTTATTTGTTAGTGTGTATTCTAAAAATTTTCAACTCGTTTGGGAACATCAGGAAACTTCCAGTCCACCTAAACCTACTTCAGTGTACTTAGTGTGCTCCAAGACAATATTATGTTTTTGAGTGTTTTATGTATATGCATTTACATTGGTTGGGGAAGGGAAGATGGAGTGGAAGGAGAGCCATACTTAAAATCAGATATTCAGAGGTTACACAGCTCTGTTCTGGACTGCCTTCATGTGCATTAAGACCCAGAACATAGTAGAACTTATTTTTTACTCCAGATTCCAGTGAACCACATTTAGTATTAGAGGCAAGTAATTAAGCTGTACCCTGTCTGCAAAACTTGGCTAGCAGTTTCACTTGGAGTGTACCAGAGGGTTTGCTGAGTTCTAGGCCCTCACACTGTCCACCACCATCATTATCTGCATATAGAAATGGAGTAGTACTTTAGGTCAAATTCACTAGAACTTGGTGAATACAAATACCATCTGCTACATGAACATACCTCTTGGTTATTATGGGTTACTTTGATGAGTCTTTTCAGTTAGTTCTTTTTAAGTATCACTTATTACTGAAAATATCAGTATCTGTCATTTCTTTTTTTTAGTTTGTTAATATGTAGTTGCATAAATCTACTAGGGGAAACTCATTTATTTCAGAACAATGTGGGGAATTTTATTCCCATGGAAATTTTTTTTAAGAACTATTTTGTTTATCTTTATTTAGTTAATTTTCTTTTTTATAATTTGACCAAAGAGAAACAGAGTGTGTGTATGTGTGTGTGTGTGTGTGTGAGAGAGAGAGAGAATTAAAGAAAAGAGAAAGAGAGAAAAAGTGAGAAAACAAGCCACCAGGTCCCGGACTCAAACCGCAGTTAGCCATGTGGGAATCCAGCATTCTCAACCACCATGCCACCTGCCAGCACCCCCATAGAAAATTTTTAAAAGAGTACAATGCCCATAATTTTATGAATCCTATTCTGAATTTAATGTTTTAGTCATTCAGAACTTTATTAGCTTTATAGTTAGTGTTTATGAAAACCCCAGAAAGTACAAAGTACAGTAATAGTTTTGAAGACAAATTAAGACAGTTTCTAACTTTTTATTTCCAGCAGGGAGGTGGGGGGTAGGAGACATTTTTGCTATAGGGCAGTGTTCAGTAAGTTTTAAATTTTAGAGAACTCTAGATTTTAGATTTCCAGATTAGGGATGCTCAACCCGTATAAGAAAATGAATTTAAAGAAACACAGGGAAGAGGAGGAGAGATTAGAATATGTGGAACTAGAAGCCTTGACAGGTTCAGACTGTCAGTTGAGTACTAGTAAAGATATCCGAGATATCCTTGGAAGAAAGAGAGAGATTGCAAATGTTGGAAAATCTTCCCAACCATCTTCGTGGATGAGTTGACAAAAGCCGGTGATAGAGGTCTCCTTGATTATAGAACCATACCTAAGGGGTTTGTCCCTGCCTGTAGAATAGTTCTTTTCCTGGTGCTGTGTCATTTTCTAGTAGTAATATAATCAAATCTCTCTGTACTGTCTTCTCCATCCTGAGATGTACCTTCTTCCCTTTTTAATCTTTTCAGGACAGCTGCCTTAATTTTTATTTCATTGTTACTTTTATTTTATTATTTATTAGCTGATTTACTTATTTTCGGTAAAATGAATGGCTTACCCACATTACTTGTCTTTCACTATAATACTGGTTTCCTACTATAATTTTACTCTTTCAAAGTAAGTATAACGCAGGTATAAGAAGTAGGTACTGGGAGCAGCAGTTAGTGTAATGGCTATGTTGCTGGACTCCCATGTAGTCGACAGCGGTTCGAGTCCCAGACATGATGGCTTAAACTCTTGCTGAGTGCGTGTGCATGCATGCCCAAGATCCTTAGAGGAGAATGGAGAAGAAGGGATTGCCGTGTGGCCATCCACCCTGGGGGGTGACTTCTCGACTTCTATCTGTCTCTCTCTGTCTTTCTGGCAAGCGCACACGCCCTATAGCAAAAACCTCTCCAATAAAAGGGGGGAAAAAAAGAAGAAGAAAAGAAAAAAGAAGAAGGTACTTCCTAAAGTGAGTCCCTTATTACTATTGGGATTTACTTTTAAATGTTATTCATAAAACAGCTTACAGCTTAGCTGATGTCCTCATGCTTTCTTTTTTAAATATAGAATTATTTATTTTATTTTAGTGTTGTTACTATTTTTTAATTTGCTATAGGATAGGGCATATGTGCTCAACAGAGGGAACATAGTTGGAGAGTGAGAAAGCCAGCTGCCAGGTTTGAGACCTAAACTGCTGTCAGCAAAGTGGGAGTCTAGCACTTCAACCACCATTCAGCCCCCATGCCACCTGCTGGCCCCTCACCTAGGTTTTCCACTGTAACTCATAACCGCCTGACGGGGCAGGTGCTGTCAGTGTCTTTATTTCACAGACAAGGAAGCAGACTCCCCTAAGTCAAGTGTTCAGCTCATTACCACCCAGCAGTGAGAAGCTGGGAAGGAATGAAACCTGGACGTGCTGACTGACCCCTAAGCCATGCTGTTCTTCCACTGGAAAGTACCTCATCCTGACATCTGTAGGTCTGTTGGCACCTCTTAGAGTAATCTGTGGTTTTCACCATAGCTGTCAGGACACTGTCAGGGAATGTATAGGAGGAGCCAGTCTGGGGATGATTTGGGATTGATGGTTTCTGCTATTTGTAACATCGTCTGCTTACCTTGTTGTATTTTTTCCCTCTGTCTTTCAGTACTTTTGAAATCATAGCTAACAAAACTTTTGCTGAAAAATAAAATTTTGTTCTTTTTTCAGTATGTGACACTGAAAGAGATGCCTGCTGTGCTTGTTTTCAAAGATGAAACTTACTTTGTTTATGATGGTAAGTTCCAGAGTCTTAACTCACATAAACCATTTTACACAACATTGTAAAATTTAAGTGCCATGTCTATCATAGGATTTAGGAGTTGATAAAAGATTTTGAAAATGCTACACATTTTGTTAATTTTTTTTAACATTCTTGCTTCAGTTTTTGCATTCAGTATTCTTTCATTCAGAGTTTTCATGCAGCGAGGTTTTTCTGTTAGATTATTTGCCCTTTTTAAGAAGTAAACTGGGACCAACAGATGGCATAATGGTTACATCTCTGCACTGCCACGTATTCAAATATAGATGGAGTCCCAGACCCGGCAACTTAAAACTCATGCCAGGCATGTGTGAGTGTGTGCTCACAATCCCCAGAATCCCAAGAGGATAATGGAGGAGAAGGGATTGCAGTGTGGCCATCTCCTCTGGGGAATTGAATTCTCGCTTCTGTCTCTGTCTCTGTCTCTCCAGTAAGCACAAGCATCCTATAACAAAAATCTCTCTTGAAAAGAAGAAAAAGAAGTAAACCTTTAGACCAGCAGATGGCATACTCTATCTCAAGTCTTGGACCCAGTGACTTAAAACTTAGACTGGACAAATGTGCATGCATCCAGAATCCTGAGAGGAACATGGAGGAGAAGGGATTGTTGCATGGCCACCCCCATTCCAGGGGGTGCTTTCTCACTTTCTGTCTCTTTGTCTCTGTCTTTCCAGCAAGTGCACGTGCCCTATTCAAAAACCTCTCTAAGATTAAAAAAAATGAAGTAAACCTTGTACTATATGTTACTTGGAAGTGTTCAGAATTAATTTTAAAAAGGTGTCCAATAAGTCAGACACACAGAAAGATGAAGAAATACAGTATTTCAGTAGTTTGCAGGTTTATCACATTGTGTAATCTTTATAATGGTTTCTTTTGAGTAAGGCCATGCCTGAGAATCAACTTCTAGTTTTATGTTTATGTTTTAATTTGTAAGTCCAGATCCATAAATACTTTCACGTTTGTACTGTCACTTTGTATCGATTTCTTTTTCATGTACTTAAAATAATTTATCAAAATTACTTCAGAATTATATTTCTAATCAGGATACAATTTTTCTTTGCTATTACAGTCTGCTTAGCAGAAGAAGTGTTTGATGTTGGAAAAATCTAATGTAGTATTATGGTTTTATGTTTGATTGTGCCAATTGTAAACGTGAGTTGTAGACTAAGGAAGAATGTTGTAAAATAAAGAGCAAGGGATTTGATAAAATCACCCACTGTGCAGTCATCTAAGGCATCAGTTCAGAATCACCATTCACTAGTATATGCCTTATCATTCTACCAACTTATGATTTCATACTGTATTTTCGACAAAGGATCATACTATAATATTGTTATGTAACTTAGCTTACAATTAAATGATTACAAGATTTTTTTTTATGAGAGGTTTTTGCTATAGGATGCATGAGCTCGCCAGAAAGACAGAGAGAGACAGAAAGTGAGAGATCACCCCCCAGGGGTATGGCCACACTGCAATCCCTTCTCCTCCATTCTCCTCTCAGGATCTTGGGCATGCACACACATGCACCTGGCGTGAGTTTAAACCACCGGATCTGGGACTTGAACCACGGTTGACTACATGGGAGTCCAGCAACATAGCCAATATGCCAACTGCTGGCCCCAAGTTTTTTTTAACTGGTAAATAGTCTTTTTCAATATGTACTAGTTACTTCTGATTTAGAATTTTTGATAACTTATTTTTAAGTTTTTTTTTCTATTTTTAGTGATTTTTTTTAAAAGAATTATTTATTTAATTTTATTTATTCATTCATTCATTTTAATTTGACCAGAGAGAGACACAGAGAGAGAGACAGAGGGAAAGTGAGAAAGCAAGCCACCAGGTCCGAGACTCGAACCGAGGTCGACCATGTGGAGTGTCCAGCGCCTTAACCGCCATGCCACCTGCTGGTCCCAGTGATTGTTTTTATCAAGCATTTATCAAGTGAAGATGGCTTTGTGCAGTAATCCTGTTATACATCTGATGGTTTGGTTAGAAATTCCTAAACATGAAATTTATGGATTTAAGATTTTGATTCTAGTCAGACATTTTATACATATTGCCATGTTAAAACATAATCACTTAGGGACCAGCAGTTGGTGTAGTGATTATATCTCTGTACTCCCACATGACAGGCCGCAGTTCAAGTCCTGGATCTGGTAGCTTGAAAATCACACTGGGCACATGGGTTTGCAGGCGGAGAATGGAGGAGAAGGGATTGCAATGTGGTCATCCCTTCTGGGGGCAGTTTCTCACTTGCCCTTGCACTGTGTCTGTCTGTCTGTCTGTCTCTCTCTCTCTCTCTCTCTCTCTCTCTCTCTTGTGGGGAGATATATAACAATGCAAAACTATATAAAATACTATGTGAAACTCATATTCATACTATAATTTTTGAACTTTGTTTTGTTTTTAAGAGTATGAAGATGGTGATCTGTCATCATGGATCAACAGAGAAAGGTTTCAGAATTACCTTACTGTTGATGGCTTCCTCTTATATGAACTTGGAGACACAGGTAATAAGCATATACTGACGATTCTTTTTTTTTAGACCTGAATACCAGTTTTGCTTTATTGGCCTGATATTATCAAAGAATACCATTTTATATGTGGGTCAAAGATTGGCTCAAGAGAGAGAGCTTTACTAATAGAACTGAAAACAAGAATAAAAGCCTGAATAATAAGGGAATGAGAAAAAAATAACCAACTGAGAAGTTATACTCGGGAGATGGACTTCATAATAAAAGTTGAAATAAAACTTACACAGTCTCACTGCTTTCACTTGAGAAGTATGAATCATTGGCATAGTTTCTTAAATTTTGTGATTGAAATGACAGACAAGGCAAATGTAAATATGCAAAATGAAAGCCGTAAGAAGCTAACCAAATGGTCACATAGATGCATACTATACAATTATGAGGTCACTCCAAGTTTTAGGAGTAATTGTTGATGTAACTTATTGTAAATTAGAAATGAGAATTAATGGTTATTGCCGCATTGATTTGCCTTCACAACTTCCTTTTAAGTAGGATGGGAGTATGGTTATGGAATAAAAGAGTGGAAGTGCTTCATTCAAGGCTCATTCTGTGTGTGTGAGAAGTAATGGCCATAGGTTTCTTTTTGATAATTGCTGCTCTTGATTTGGATTAAGACTTCAAATTAGAAATGTTTTCCTTGTCCTATTATGTCCATTTCTCTCAGTCTGGTGTGAGTTCTTTTTGAGACTACTTTCAGTGTTCTGTGCCTGGCAATGTAGTTGTCTTTGTTCATCCTTGGAGAGCAGAGAACTGTGGAAGTTCCAGGCACTGGAACTCCCGCAGGGCAGGGGTTCTGTCAGAGTGTGGGTTTACTCTCTGATTTCTTTCAGGCCCATGCAAAGGGAAAAGGGGTAAAATGTGGGCACACAAATCTATTCTATAGATTTGCTTTGGGTGGAGTAATCATAGGGCATATCATTTTCTCGAGGTAATGAAAACTAGTGGCTTTGGCTTCGCTAGCCTTCTTCATACAGACTAATTTGGAACCAGAAGTTTGCTATGGCATTGTTCTTTTATGTATCTTACCTAATTGCCTCAATAAGTATCGCTGTGGTTGTGCCTCTTTTTCCCTTTTTTAAGCGTCTTCTAGCCTCTTGGTTCCTTTGCTTTAATTACTGTTTCTGAGAAGTTCTAGTGACAGCAGGTCCCTATGTGCATGACTTCCACCTCGGTCCCTAGCCTGATATAGTCTGGTGTCTGTCTGTGCCTTCCTTCCCTAGCCACACTTTCCAGTGTCTTAAAATGACCTTGTCACTTGCACCAAGCTTTACATTCTTTTTACATTCTTTTTTTGGTCTGGAAATACGTAGTTAGGTTATATTCATTTATTGAACTGAAACCAAATGTTGTTTCCTGAAAAAAAACTGCTGACTCCTTCAAATGATGTGAATTTACGCTGTGGCACTTTTCTATAGCTGCATGTGCCTTTCCTCCAGACCTCTTGTTTTTAAGCAGCTGTTTGGTGGAGATGTGCATATTCCCTCTAGACTGAGCTGACTCAAGTGCAGAGCTGCGCCTGAGTCTGCTCATCGCCGTGTCCTCGGTAGCTACCCCAGTGTTGGGTCCGTCATTCACACTCAGTAGTCATTAGATTATTTGTTAGGAGCTATGCCTGTGTTTCATAGAGCTCTGTTGGCCTGTGAGAAAGTGCCGTATGTGTTGTAGGCATTTCATAAAAACGAAACATGGATGAGGCATTTTGAAATTAAGAAAAAAATGTAATAAAAACAAAATAGAAAATGAATAGTAAATTAAATATTTCAAGGAGGGGATAATTATTATGAACTCCCATTTTTAGCAAAGGGTTTAAAGAAGAGGATTGTGTATAATATGGAGAACTGCCTAAGTAGTGTGGAATTAGAAGCAGCATTAAAATGTGAAGCTGTTGATAGAGTATTTATTTAATTCTACATATATGTACCTAAGCCAGGTATTATCCTGATAGTTTTGTGCATATAATATTATTTAGCTTTTCCAATAACTTTATGGAATAGATTTTAGTTTCCTAAAATAAAGAGAAGTTTCCTGAGGTGAAGTCACAGAGCTGATAAATAATGGCACTCCCCTGTACTCCCAGGGCTTGAAGTAGTGCCTAGAAGTTCTAGACAGTGACTGCCAACACCACTGTTACGGTTATTACATTATGTTGCCTTCCTAGAGGTTATCAGAGGTGCATATGGTTTATGTTCTCTTTAGGGTTAGGCAAATGTGAGTCAGTTTATTTCTGTGTGTTGTTAACGACTAGTAGTAAAGAGAATGGCTGTGTAAAAATTGTTTCATTATTGGGACCAGCAGTTAGCATAATGGCTATGTCGCTGAACTCCCACGTAGTCGACTGCGGTTCGCGTCCCGGACCCGGTGGCTTAAAACGCACGGTGGGCGCGTGTGCATGCATGCCCAAGATCCCGAGAGGAGAATGGAGGAGAAGGGATTGTGGCGTGGCCATCCCCCTTGGGGGGTGATTTCTCGCTTTCTGTCTCTCTATTTCTCTCTGTCTGGCGAGCGCACATGCCCTATAGCAAAAACCTCTTCAAAAAAAAGAAAAAAAAAATTGTTTCGTTATTGTTCTCTACCACTCTTTTACAGCTATGGTAATTGTTAGTAGACTTCTTTTATCAACTTATAGTTTTAGCTTTTTTTATTATTATGATTGCCAGAGGGTATTTGTACTCACCAGAGAAAGAGAGAGAGCGAGAATGTCCGTGAGTGAAGTCCAGTCATGCAGAAGCCCTCTTCCTTTATTTCTGCATTCCATCAATTTCAGGCATGCACACACACAGGCCCAACATGATTTTGAAGCCACTGGAGCTAGGATTTAAACCACGGTTAGTAGTGTGGGATCTGGCTTCCTGTGTAAATTTGTTGTGCTATGGGGCCAGCTCAGGTTTTAGTTTTTTGTTGTTGTTGTTTGTTTGTTTTTGAGAGGTCTTCGCTATAGGGCACGTGAGCTTGCCAGACAGACAGAGAGAGACAGAGAGACAGAAAGCGAGAAATCACCCCCCAGAGAGAATGGTCACGCCGCAATCCCTTCTCCTCCATTCTCCTCTTGGGATCTTGGGCACGCACGCACACGTGCCTGGCGTGAGTTTTAAGCCACCGGGTCTGGGACGCGAACCACGGTCGACTACGTGGGAGTCCAGCAACATAGCCATTATGCTAACTGCTGGTTCCCAGGTTTTAGTTTTGACAAATATTTATCTTAGTCAATTTGTGTGGGTAGATTTTAAAAAATGAAATTTGAGCATATAAGTCATCATAGGTTTACTGTTATTTACATTTTGGGCATGGGAGATGAAAATGAATTTATCACCTGGAGTTGACTAATTCACTGATATACTATAAAATGGTGATTTGTTTCATTAAATACAGCATTTGCCAGAAAATTTACATTAAATTCTATAAACATGTAATACTGATTCCCTATTCATAACTAAAGTGATAATTGAAAAGTTTGTATAATGAGGATTATTGAATTTAGATGTCGTTCTTAATTTCAGGAAAGCTTGTGGCTATTGCAGTTATTGATGAGAAAAATACATCAGTTGAACATACCAGGTATAGTGCCTTTAAATAGTTTTAAGCTTTACATGTCACTCAGTTTGGGACCAGATGGTGGTGCAGTGGTAAAACAGCAATGTAGGGAGTCTCACATGGAAGGGCTCCTAGTTCAAACCCAAAGACCTGTCTTAGTGTACACAGGGCTCGTGCTAGCCATGGACTGGGGCTGGCTTGCAAAAAAAGAGTCATCTCATTCAAGTTTCACTTGTCTTTAGATGAGCAATGTGGTATCTTATTTTCCTGCAGCACTTAGGTAAGGCAGCAGATTTTATAAGTGGATTACTATTTTTCAGTTGAAGAGATGAAATATTCATGTGTTTTGTTCTTTCACAGGTTAAAGTCAATTATTCAGGAAGTTGCTAGAGATTACAGAGAAGATTTCCATAGGTAGGTGCTTGCATTCTAGAAGATTCTTCTATTTTTGTTTAGTAGTGTTTCATACTTTCAAAGGTGAATCAAGGAACTGAAGTAAATTATAGCATGTTACATTTCAGCATGAATTATTTGAGTCGTCAAATTTATTGATTTATTAACTGCCCTGATGAGGTATAGTCATGTAGAAACGTCCTTTTATCTCCATTCTGTCAGGATTTCAGGCAAGCACACACACATGTCCAGCATGATTTGGAAGCTTCCAGGGCTGGGATTTGACCCACAATCAGCAGTGTGGGATCTGGCTCCCTCTGTACTGTGCTAATAGGATGTCCATCCTTTAAGTTGGAGGAAATTTTTCATCTTAATATATATTAGACCTGCTACTTGATAGGGTCTGATATAAATTTTATGGGGAAAAATATGTACATATTACTCAAATTTGAGATAAGTTTAAATGAGCAGTCAGAGGTAGCAGTAAATGATTGTGTCAGTATCTCAGAGGACAACTGAATGCAGAATGGCTTCAGAAAGAAAGATGATGCTTCTGCTATGTGCTAAATAATTTTGGTTGTTGTCATAAAACATAGTGAAAATTTGTTGTATTATTTTCTTCTGATAATGAATTTTCCTAGTGATGGGTCAGGGTATAGCTCTTGTGTTACATAATATATATAATTTTTTATTAATTTTTAGAATAATTTCTCTTAAATATCTTTCAGAAACAAAAGCTTATATATCTGAATTTTTAGATGCATAAATGAACTAGAAATGTCTTCAGATTTGCTTATTTCTGCTTATGTGAACTTAATATCTCAAAACCCAGTAGAATTTACACTCTTTTTGTACCTATTGTTAAGTGGTTATATATTGAATGTTAATGTGTTTATTTGCTTACCAAGCCTTAATTTTCAGTTGTTCTATTATTTAGTTTTTATTTTATATTTAATGTTACACTCTCTCTTTCTCTCCCCCCCTCCCCCTTTTGTTTGGTTTGTTTGTCTTTTTTGGTTAGAGATTTTCAGTTTGGCCATATGGATGGAAATGACTATATAAATACCTTACTGATGGAGTAAGTAAAGACTGAATGACTTTGTTATCAAATCTTACCAACGCTTGCATTTCTGTTTCTAAGAGATGGGCAGAAGGCCCAAGAGCTGGGGGAAAAAAAAAAAAAAGCAAACAGTTGGAATGTTCTCATGCATGTTTTTATCAAATATTTTATACTATAGTCTTTAAATTTTGTATTTGGAAATTACTGAATTTTAATACCATATACTAAAAAAAAATCCTTATTCTGCATTATAATTTATAGTATTTTGAAAAGTCACCATTCAAAAGTGTATGTGTTGTGTAGTTTCTACATAATATACACCTTAAGTTTAGTCTTAATATAATAGGTAAATGTAAGTTACATAGAAAATTTTCAGCATTAAGGAATTAATTACTACTTTAGAAAAATTTACTTTTAGTAGGCTAAAATAACTATAGGAAAAATACGCAATATGAATATGTCTATATTTTTAATATTTTGAATAAATAACAAAATTTTTATAGACCTCTAGTGATCTCAGTATGCTCCATAATATGTAAGCCATATATGTATGATATACCTCAGTTTGCTTTAGAATAAGAATGATGTAACATTGAAAAAGCTAAAATTAGTGACATATAAGGTGTTGCATTGGAGGAGGAAGGCAGTGAGGAACTTCTGAACCAGCAGGCTGATAGTTTTATGTGATGTGCCCAGATGTCAGATAAGCCGTGTAACAGCAGCACACAGTCACCCAGTAAACAAGATCAGAAAAATGACTGCACCTGTTTTTGCTTGTCCCTATTGCCACTTTGTAAAATTATGGACCTTCAAAGATAAATATCTAAGTGAGTTTTACTCTAAAATTCTAAATTCAATTATTAAATAAATTTGGCAGTTTTATTCTGCTGAGTGAAAATTACGAATTTAGCTAAAGTCTATAATCAGTGATAATAATAATATTTATTAACATGGTATTTCAATAAACTACCATGTAGCAGAGGTTCAAAATTTTTTACAAAGTGAAAAAATATTTCTTCTTTTATCTAATATAATTTTATTTTAAAAATAGCATAATAATGTATTTTCAGAACTCAGATAATTCTAGAATTCCAGTGTATTTGGGAGATTATATGTATATATATGATATGTGGTGATATGTATGGAGGGCTAGTGACCAAGAAGAAAAATGTTAGAGTATATATAGACAGTTCTGACGAGTCATTTTCACTGGGAAACAGTATAGATACTTCTCAGATTACACCTGTTTTCCACATTGCGATGGGCAAAATGTTTCCTCAAAGATATTTGTTTATAGCCTAACTCAGAATTCTTGAGTGTTATAAGGCAAAAGCCACTTGGCAGAAGCGTTTAAGTTTGGACTTTCACATGAGAGAAACAGAAGCAGAAAGCGAGAAGTACCCCCTCAAGGAGGATGGCCACTCCACAGTCTTTCTCCTCCATTCTCCCCTTGGGATTTTGGGTATACACACACACATGCCCAGCATGAGTTTTAAGCTGTCGGGTCTGGGACTCTAACCACAGTCGACTATGTGGGAGTCCTGCAATGTAACCACTATACCATCTGCTGGAGCCCACATGAGGCTTTTAAAGCAGAAAACTTTTTTCATCAAAGCAGGGAGAAGATCGGGCACAAGGGAATGTGAGAGATATTTGCAGCACAGGGACTCCCCGCTGCTGTCTTTGAAGACAGATGAGGCCAGGAGCCATGGAGTGGGGGTGCAGTATATCTCAAAGCTGAGGATGCTGACAACAGGGACCTTAACCGTACAGTTGTGTGGACCTAAATTTTACTAAAACAGTGAGCCTGGAACAGGTTTCTGTTCTTGAGCTTCCATAAGGAACACAGCCCTGCCTACACCTTATGTCCATCTTGGAGCAGAAGACCAGCTGTGCCCAGTGGCTGCCAACCTGCAGGGATAACTGCAAGATAGAGAATGAGGCTGTCAAACAGCTCTGCTGCAGTGGGTTGTTACAACAGCAGTGGAAAATGAGCAATACTTGGTGAATTTTGGCTTTTATCCTCCTGAAGAATGGACTTTTTAAAAAATATTCATTTATATTTTTTCATATGTAAAAAATCTGTGTATTTGATAAAGTCAACTTGATCTAACAAAAAAAATTCAAATAGCTTATTAAAAGTGTCCTTGTATCAGTACCAGCAGTTGGCATATGGCTATGTCACTGGACTCCCATGTAGTTGACTGCGGTTCAGTCCCAGACCTGGTGGCTTAAACTCATGCTGGGCGCATGTGCACGCGTGCCCAAGATCCTGAAAGGAGAATGGAGGAGAAAGGATTGCGGTGTAGCCATCCCCCCGAGGGATGATTTTTTGCTTTCTGTCTCTCTGTCTCTGTCTTCTGGCAAAGTGCACATGCCCTATAGCAAAAAACAACAACAAAAACCTCTCCAAGAAAGAAAAAGGGGGGACGGTCCTTATATAAAAATGGCCTTGTGATGTACAATAAAATGCAATAAAAATGATCATCCTTCATCCCCCCCCACATCCCCAGTAACTAAAATGGCTACTGATCCACATCTTTGTATACTTCTGTAAAAGAAACATAATAATGTAACTAAACGTTTTCTAGGTTGTATGCTTCGAGGTGTCCCATCTCAGTTAATTTTATTAATTATTATTATTATTATTTACTTTGCTATAGGGTATGTGTGCTCATGAAAAAGAGAGTTGGAGAGGGGGCGGGAGGGCAAGCGAAAAAGAGGAAGATCTGGGACCCGAACCATGGTTGGCCATGTGAGAGTTAAGCACCACAACCTCCATGCCACCTGCTGGCCCCAAGAGTGGACATTTTTAAGGATTATTTTACTTTAAAAAAAAAAAATACTGTCATAGTATTATAACACTATGAAATGTTTTTACCGGGAAATAATAGTGAGTTGATTTTTCTGTCTCTATAAGAACAAAAGATAATTGTGCTTCCCCAACCCTCTTTGTAAAGAGATCCAGTTTAGTAGCTATTGCTGTGTTATAAAGCATGCGAGGAAGAGGTAAGAAGTACTTCGAAATTAAAGCGCTCAGGACATCAGCAGCTGTTTTCTTGTTCTACCACCTGCCCTTTACTGGTTTTGGTGGGGGAGGGGGAGCAGGCTGTTGTTTTTTGATAAATTCATACTTTACTTTTATTTTCTGCCTTTCGAAAGAAGAGAGAAGGTATATAATTAATTGGTCTTACATATTAAGGGAAAGTCCTCTTGAGCACTTATCCCATGGCTTATCCCATCTCTTGAGCACTTATCCCACTTATCCCACTAGACTTAGTGGTTGGCATGTATTTTCTGATTTTTACATTAGCTTATTGAGGTGTAAGTACTATTATCATCTCCATTATTTTATATTTTACATAGTCAGGAAAAGTGAAATTTCTTTTTTGGGAGAGATTTTGCTATAGCACACCTATAAGCCACCAGGTCTAGGACTCGAACCATGCTCAGCTACATGGGAGTCCAGCAACATAGCCATTATACCATCTGCTGGTTCTGGGAAATTGAAATTTCTAAGAAACTCCAAAAAGAGATATAATATGCCAGAGGATACCCAAGAAATTAAAGAGAGACAGTCCTCAGATACAGCTCTCTCGTATTCCACACCTCTTAATCTTAATGTGGCAACACGGTTGTCAACATATAAATCGGTAGAGGTGCCTGAAATGTTTTTAGCTTAGAGTGTGTGATTTTAGAGAAGATAAAATTATTGCAGAATTGACTGTTTTGCTTTTTCTCAAGATAATATGGGACTATCAGATCTTTGAGCTTTTAAATTATTTTGTATTTATCCTTTGTGAATATAATTAAGAAAGAGTAGAATGAAATTTTATTTGCCAGCATTACTCAAATTGATTTTTTTAAGGCTTTTGCCTTAGGGTGCATGTGCTTGCCAGGAGAGAGTTTTTTTGTTTGTTTGTTTGTTTGTTTGTTTTTGCTGCCATAAGGCGCATGTACGTGTTAGAAAGATAGAAAGCGAGAAATCAGAAATCACCCCTCAGGGAGGATGTTCATGCTGTAATTCCTTCTCCTCCCTTCTCCTCTCGGGATCTTGGGCACACACACACACACACACACACACACATATGCCCGGTGTGAGTTTAAGCCACCGGGCCCAGAACTCAAACCGCAGTCAACTACATGGGAGTCCAGGGACATAGCCATTAGGGCAACTGCTGGTTCCCATAATATGTATTTTTATAGAACACCAGATTCTAATCCATTCCCTAAAAATAGATGTTTTGCTACACATGTATTATGAGACCTAATAACTAAACTATCATAAATTAAAAAGCTGTTTCTTTTCATTTTATTTTAAAAAATAGAGGCAAAAACTTTTTTAACTTTTGTCCGGTAATATGGACAATAAGCCACACTGATGTCCAGTGGCTGGAAACAGTGGTCATTTATACTTTGTCACTTGTCTGGGGTTAGCTGTCCTTAGCCCGCACAGTTGCGTGTGTCTTAAAAGTGCCAGCCAAGTTCAATCTGGTCCACATCGCCGTCCTCCTTGTCCCTGGCTGGTGTGCCCCGGGGGTGCTTTTCTCCTGGCAGTCGCAGAAACACGAGCAGGCCAGCCCGGCTACACCAGCACATTAACTGGCGAGTCATCTCTCACCTTCCCACGTCATGAGGCTACATGGGTCAGATGACATGGCAAAGGGTGTGGTCTGGAGAGAGAGAATTGAGGACAGGGAAACAGCCTGCTGGACACTTTCACGTATGTGGTGACTACAGAGAGACATAAATGATTTCTACTCTAAGATTTATTCTTTCGCTCAGTGCTTTCTTACATAGTCATGGACCTACAGAACACCATGACGTGATGCATGTGTGATGTGAAATTAAGTACTTTCCTCTTGTGATTATACTTTGCCTATCCTTAAAGAAAAAGTACGTAAGAAAATTAAATGATGCCTATTGCTAGCATTACGTAGTTTTCCCTCTGCAAACAGAAGTGGTGCCTAAATTATCACTAATACTTCCTGAAGGTGGGGTGTGATATGCGAGGCAGAAGTGAGGTTTTAGAGAATATACAGTAGTGTTTATTGAACATGTGTTATATACAGGGTACTATTAACTTAAATTTCCTCATGTAATTTCTATAGTGAAATAGGTACCACTGTCTTCCACCCTCCCCCCCTTTTTCCCCTATAGGACGTATGTGCTTGTTGGGTAGAGGCAGGGAGACAGGGAGAGGGAATAAGCAACTGCCAGGGAGGATAGCCATGCTGCAGTCCTCTTCATTTCCCTTTCAGGATTTTTGGGCATGCACACACATGTGCCTGGAGTGTTTTTCAAGCTGTTGGGTCTGCATTTGAACTGTGTGGTTGGCCATGTGGGATCCAGCCACCTTGAACACCATGCCATTGGCTAGTCCACCACGGCCTCCCCTTTTATAAATGAAAAACATTACACATAAGAAACATAACTTGCTTAACATCCTGCAGCTAAAAGAGAAAGCCCCAAATTGAACATAAGCAGTGTGACTTGTGAGACAGTGCTCTTACCTGTGTAGTTACTGTGTAACTGAGGGGCTATCCATGGTTAAAGGCAATGGGATAAGGTAAAGTTGTGGTAAGGAATAACAGCGCCTGGAAATAGATACTTCATACATTGTCATTTTAATTGTAACTTTTAGCAGTCTCTAATTATGTATTAGAGGGTTTTTCATGTAATCTTAATTTAGTTAGTTTTGTAATCAATACAAAATTTAAGATTTTCTTCATGTTGGCAAAGTTGATAGTATATCTCCCTCCCACTGAGATAGAAAAGTGTCTGAGAATATTTTTTAGTGCTGTGTTTAACATATATTTCATTTCTTTGTTTCTGTATTTTTAGTGAATTGACAGTTCCAACTGTAGTTGTGCTGAACACTTCAAACCAACAGTACTTTGTGCTGGATAGGCAGATTCAGAATGCTGAAGACATGGTCCAGTTCATTAGGAGCGTTTTAGATGGCACAGTAGAAGTAAGTTCACTTCCGTTTCAGAGGCTGAAGGGAGAGGGAAATGAGTCCATTCTTCAATCTTGACTCTGAGAGGAGCAGTTGGCCATCACCTGGGGTGTTGGGGCTGGGCCTCCACCCATTGCTTCTCTCCTGATGTAGGCAGAGTCATATTCTCCCGGAAAGTTCTCCTGGGGCAAAGATTGCTGTGAGCAGGAAATGTCCCCAGAGAGGTTATTTGGAGGACATTTTTGGTTGTCACAGTAGCGGGGAGTCACTGTCAGTATCTATGGTGCAGTGCTCGGGAAGTGAAGAGGCCCGCTTGCGTGGTAGGCGCTAGTCCCAGCAGTGAACTTTCCTGACTCTACCTTTCCTAGTCCAAAATACCAAAGTATCTAGTATTGGATTTGGATCAAAGTATTAGGATTAGTTTTCTAATAAAATCTGCAAATAGCAAATAAGACTGCAGTTTCTTAGCAGATAAACCGGGCTACAACCCATGTTAGAGAATCATGAAATGACCTCGGGTCACAGTCGCGTTGTGACCAGCGTGCATTCTTTTGTTGTTATTTTTGCCAGAGGGCACATGTGCTTGCCAGGAGAGAGAGGGAAAGGGAGAAATCATTCCCCAGTGGGTTGGCCTTACCACAGTCCCTTTTCCTCCATTCTCCTGGGATTTTGAGCACAGACACGTGCTCAGCATGATTTTTAAGCTACGAGGCCTGGAACTCAAACCACCATCGCCATGTAGGAGTCCAGCATCTTAACCACTACGCCACCTCTTGGCCATGGCCAGCTTACATCAACTAGAGTAAAGTAAAATAAAAAAAAATAAAATAAAAAAAAGATTTCTCTGCTTTTGTGAAGTTGAATTACCGTCTTGTGTGACATTTGTTTCAGCGTGATAACGAAATATTTGATATTTGGCTCACGGAATAGCAAGTACTTTTACTTTGTGTCAAGGTCAGAAAGTTAAAAAACACCCTCTTAATCATCAGGAGTTTTCCTCCCTCTGCCTTGTAGCATTTTCTTCCTGTTGAGCCTCGTCCTTAGGAGACTCCCTATGCAGTAGCAAAGAGATCCTCCAGCTGCACTTGTGTGGCTGTTCCAGCTCTGCTCAAATTCAGCGTTCTCCAGGCTGCATGGGTGAGGAGTAAGGGGGGAGAAACTTCAGAGCAGGCCTAGGGCAGGAGGAGGAGGGGACAGAAAGGAAAAGTACATGTTTACTGACTGCACAGCTTTTTCAGGTGATTTATGTCATATTTTGAGTCAGCCCTTTGACCTGCAATTATAGTTATTAATTATAGTTATAGCAAAACGAAGTAACAGTTCCTAAACAACTATTTTTTCCTGTTAAATCGAAGGCTCAAGGAGGTGACAGCATTTTGCAGAGATTGAAAAGAATAGTGTTTGACGCCAAGTCTACGATTGTGGTAAGCTGTGTCCATTTGTGTCCTTGATAGTTAAGAGTGCATAGGTTCTTTGTGTCTCACCATGATAAAGCTAGAATCCCAGGGGATTATGTCAGAATATGTCTTTTTAATTTAGAGGACTTGACCAAGTAAGTATTTGCATTAAGAAGGCATATTCATCAGGTAGAAATTAGGTTTCTTTAATTCATTTCTTTGTGATTGATAAATTCATTGAAATTCAAAACGAATTCCCTGTAACCTGAAAGACTTTATTTTCTCAACCTTCCATATAAAGGCTTTACTTTATAACTTCTGTGATTTGATGAAAGTGTAAATAATATGAAATTTTTAGTTTCACTAATTGGTGTCCTCTGTGGTTTGGTCTTTTTTGTTGAAAATGATATGTCTTGAAAAGTCACTCCTTTATATTAGGTAGTAGTTGAAATAAAATTTTAGATCTTAGTTTTAAGCATTCCTGTTAATTCTCTACTCTCCCCAGTTGGTGTGTAGTTGGGATCACATGCTGATGATGTTCCTGTGTTTCCTCTTTCCTCGTACTCTCCTTTTATCCTTTCATTTGCTTTTTATGTTCTTTCCTTCTTTCTCTAAAAAGCAGATTTTAGGGGTCAGCAGGCGGTGGTGTGGTTAAGGTCTGTATTCTCACATGACCCACCGCAGTTCAAGCCACTAGATCTGTTGACTTGAAAATCACACTGGTGCATATGTGTGAGCCCAGGATCCCAAGGGAAGAATGAGGAGAAGGGATTGTGGAATGGCCGTTTTTCCAGGGTATGATTTCTCACTTTCCCTCTCTAGCTCTCTCTCTCTCTCTCTGGTGAGAAAGACACGCCCACATGTACACCCTGTGGCATAAATAGGATTTTAAAAGAAAAGCCTTTGGGGGGGGTAGAAGTTTTTGCCTTAGGGCGTGTGCTCTCACTGGAGAGAGAGACAGACAGAGGGGAAGGAGAGATCATCCCTGGGGAGGTGGCCACCACCATAATCCCTAACCTCCGTTTTCCTCCTGGGATCCTGGGCACACGCGCACACACGTGGCGTGAGTCTCAAGCCACACGATCCAGGACTGGAACAATGGTCGCCTGTGTGGGAGTCCAGTGACGTAACTGCTATGCCATCTGCTGGCCCCAAAAAGCTGATTTTAAATATAGAGTTAAAATAGGATGAGTGAAATCCTTTCTAGGAATGTTTTTGTTTTCCTGTTCATCCCAGTGTATAAGTTATGGTTGTTGTTACATCTAAGTGTAATATTAAATTGTAGTTTGAACTGATGTGTGTACGCTTGGTTATACTTTTCCATTTTCTTTTATAAATGATAGTTTCTAAGTATATTTTTTTTTCACTTCCTTACCTCTTACCCGATTATCTCTGGCCATTACTAATTTTCCTTCTGTAAAACTGATGCCTAGTCTCTCCAGCTGCCTGCTAATGATCAGATCCGTCCATGTATTTCTTCTGGGTGTCTGTGAAGCTCTCTTTCTTGACATTCTTCCTTCCCTTGTTGCTGTGATAATTACTGCTCTCCGCACCTGATCGCTAGTTGTTTATTTTAGTCTTTTCCCTTTGCCCTTTGTAGTCCTTGGATCTGAACCTTCTAGCTTGGAAGTCTAAGACATCCTTCTTACTTTGCCCGTTTCAACTCTCTACGTCTTGACAGCTGAGACGCTTCTAAATTTGCTTGAGCCCTCAGCTTAGATCCTACTGTCCATCTTGGGCTACTTCTAGGGCTTTTTATTCATTTTGTCATGTAAATATAGCCAACTCTTTTTAATGGTAAAAAGTAACTTCTGGCAGTCTTTGACTTATTCCCTGTAGAATATCCTTCTGTATATCATTGACATTTCTCTACCTTCTCGTTCCTTCCACAAGATGGGCCCCTACATATTAGGCTGGCTGCTTTTCTCACTTTTTACACTTTCTAATGCCCAGACTCCAGTCTGCTCTGTTTTTTACTGCACAGTTGATGCTACTAAAAGAACCAATTCAGATTGCTTTCCTCCCCTTATCCAGTAATGGCACATCAGATTTTGTCCACCTGAAATACTTTGGCTTGTGAATATTGTGTCCACTTTCTTAGTGCTGATATCTGGTGCTCACACTGTATGCTGCCCTGCTTCATTCTTATCCTAAAACTTCGTCCTCAACGCACATGTTTGTTCTGTGAAGACTTCTTACTATCTTAATCCAAAATTATCTTTCCCTCGAACGTGTCTGTACTGTTCGAAGAGTTACAGGTGTGATCTGTAGAATGAATATATTATAGCTGAAAAATTCAGTAAAGTTACTTTTACTTTTCTAGGGGCTGAATATAAAATTGAGAGAAATATATTAGTTCATTACGCTACACTAGTAAGTAGATGAGTAGAAACTATTAGCAGTGTCCCTGAAGAGAATTTGTGTATACTTTTTCACTTGCTGCTTAGTTACATTTGTATCTCTCTAGGGGTCTTAAGAACAGTAGCTACTGCTACTGCTGAAATAGTCACATTGGTTCATGGGGACCAAGAGCAAGCTGAATGGCAGCTAAAGGAAGAACACTAATGGTTTCCAATGTTCTGTGTCAGACTATGGCTGAGGGGAGCTGAGCCTCGTTTTCTTTCCACAGTCCATATTCAGGAGCTCCCCACTCATGGGCTGCTTTCTCTTCGGCCTGCCCCTGGGCGTCATCAGCATCATGTGCTATGGCATCTACACGGCTGACACAGACGGAGGCTACGTCGAGGAACGGTACGAAGTAAGAAGCGAAGGCCCAGAACCGCTGGAAGAAGGCAAAGAACCACAGGAACCAAGCAGCGAAGGTTCGCTAGTACCCACGGCGCAAGAGCCCAAGGATGTATTAGAGAAGAAGAAAGATTGAAACTTATGAAATATTTCATAGGATTTCAAATTATTAAAGAATCTATTTATTGAGTTTAGACATTGAATCATGATCTTACAGAGGAGAACATGTTATTTGTATTTTGCTAATACCAACTGCATGGATTAAAGTAGTCCTTCCATAAACTGGGGAGATGATTGAAGCAAAGAGATGAACGGTTCGTTTAAAACAAACACAGCCCAAGCACTCCACCAGAGTGTACCTGATACATGTCGTCGACACAGACCAGTTCTATTTCATGTTTCTCTATCTGGATATTCTGTGACAAACTTAAGATTGCTGGGCAGAATATTTAAGTTGGTCAGTCAGGTAGAAGATACATGTTTGATATGGAAAAGTAACGCCTTTATTTCCTACCCCCCATTCTTATATATATTTTGGATAAGATTTATACAGATAAAATTAAGTCTAAAATTTAGGAGACACTTTAAGGAGAATAGATTACTTTTTCCACATATGAGATTAAGATTATGAGATTAAAAATGTTGCGGTTTTCTATAGCATAGTGATTTTATTTTGTTATCATTTTTAAAGGAGAGGGAATGTTACTTTTTAACTTTATACTCAGTTACATTATTAGAAAACTTTCATATGGGCCTATCCTGTATAATGAGAAAAATAGTTTTGTGGTTGAGCTTTGCAAATCAGCAAGGTTTGCTGGGAACAGTGGTTTTAATTCATGACTCGGACTACTTCTTACAGGCAACCCATCATTAGTTGTAAAAAGGGGAAGAGGTGTCCGTTAGCTACTATACAACTTCAGCCAAAACAGCTTAGGATTTCTGTTTTGTTTCGTGTTTATTTTATACATTGAGATTTCTTCTAAAAATGTTTTTGTTGTTTTATAGTTTTGCTGTAGGGTACATGTGCTCACCAGAGAGAGAGAGAAGGAAAGTAAGAAATTACTCCCTGGGAGATGGCCATGCCCAATCACCCAGTCCCTTCTCCATCCTCCCCTTGGGACTTTGAGCACTGCACTTGCTGTGTTTTTCAGGTCACTGGGTCCGGGACTCAAACCGTGTGATCAGCCATGTGGGATCCAGCCACCTTAACCACCATGCCACAGGCTGGCCCGAAAAATTTTATTCAATAAAAATTTCCTACTTCTTTTTGTAAAGTAATTCAGATTTTTTTAATGTTTATGGCATAAAAACTTTATGGTAACTTAGAGTTCAAAATGTGTGTGTGCACATAAAGTTTATCAGAGGACATCTATTATATAGTTCTATGGGTTCGTCTCTCTGTTCATTCTGAGTAATGAGTGATCACATCAGCTCTCCGTGACGACAGATGCCACATCCAGAGGGAAAACGTGGTTAGCCAGTTACCTTCGCTAGTCCTCGGTTCTCTTACTCGCTTCAGCATGTGCCCTCTCATCATCCATCTGTAATGAGGCGGAATTTTAACCCAAATGATGTCTAAACATTGTTCAAGTAACAGTCTGGTATGTTTATTGTAGATTAGTTTGTTATTTTTGAGACCTTCCTTTTAGCCGAGTTTAAGGTTTTTATTAGGTAACTAACAATATTGTTCATTGAGTAGTTTATTTATCCATTATCTCATTGAATATTTTAAAATGTTTAATCATGTCAAAAATATGTAATATGTGGTTCCCAACATTGAAGTCACTTCGGGCTGTGATCGCCAAGGGCAGCCTCGCCTTTTTCTGATGCCTCACTTTTCAGAGCTGTATCTGAAGTACTGTGGGGTTACTGCTAACTGTTTTGTTGTATCTATGTGCTTTTTTTGTATCCAGATAACTAAACACTATTCTAAGTGTTGGGCACCCCATTTTTTTTTTAATCATTAATAATGAAACAAAAATTCAGGCACAGGGAATTTCTGGTAATATTAAAATATGAAATGTTCTTAATGGAAACCAGAGGTAAATGCTGTTAATAAAACAATTACATTACTCTGGATCCATTATCATCCTCTAATTGCATCGTGCGTGATTCTTTGAAAAGATGAATATTAATATTAATATCAATGGTCAAGCCGGTTTTATAGGAGTGAGGAGCTTAGACAGGTCCGATGGGTCATGTGAGACTCAACAGAGCAAGGACCGAGAACTTGGCTGTCAGTGACGTGAGGGAGTAGTTACAGAAAATGTCACTGATTTTTTAAAAAAATATTCATATTAATCACTCTCAGATGTTAGTCATCTGCATATTTTTTATCTTGCCCATCATCACCTGTAAATGAAAGATGTTCTGAGGAAAGAATAAAATAGTGTATAAATCGAGTATCTTCCTGTGTATTTTCTGGGGATGTTTTTGATGAATGTTGCCTTAGTTCTCTTATCCCTTTCACAACCCTGTGCTGTAGCTTCATGTTCTATTTATGCTTTTAAAGTGTATCAGGGAAAGAAAATGGATAGGTGATTTTTAAGTGAATAAATTTACGTCTTCCTGATTGTCTTAAAATTATGGTTTTTACTTGTCTGCATTTGGGACATTTTTATTTACATTTTCAGACAACACAAACAGATTTCAAAATGTGTTCACTGGTATACTTTTCTCTTCAATATGATATCAGAGTTTACAATGCTGTTTTCATTTCAGAAAAAAATTACTTCAAAATAGAGACAGGTCTCTGAGTAATTGGATCTAATAGAAATACATAGGTGTCGGTATAGATGTCCTGTTTTCATTACGTATCAATAGCAGGTGCTTCAGGAAGTTGGAGTTTTGCAATCTTTTTAGTCGCAGGAAGTTTTGTTTTTAAATTCTAACATTCTAGATTCGAGCTATTGCTGACAATATTTCAGAATATTTCTAGGAGAGAGTACATGATGTTTTTATCAAGTACCCTATAGGCAGCTATTACAACTTGATTTCATTGTTTGCATCAGTATTTTTCTAGTTACTATGCTCTGATGCTTGTTTGAGGTCTAGAACTTTCATTTTCTTCTTTACACATAGCAGTGGTTCTGGTATCTGGGTCAGGAAGGACATGGCGATGCCATTGTCTGCAGGCGAAGGAAGGGTCTATATGAGCAGGTAAAACAGTTAGCTGTATTATTTTCATTTCCTGGATTTTGTTATTTATGATGTTTCTGTTGTTTGGGGCTTCTTTTGTTTGGGTTTCACAAAGAGTAAATATTTTATTATTGCTTCATAGGATGTGAAGGCCGTACAGGGGGAAAATCACTCAGCTGTTCTTATTATGCAGAAATTGTCCACCTAAAACAGCATGGGGATGTTGAGATTATCAATTAATGGATGAGATTAAGTTTGCTATTTTATTTTTATAAATATATATTTTTTTCTGAATGTGTATGAGTCCAAAAGTGGGCAAAAAATAATTTTCTACTTTGGACTAATCTATAAAGGTTTTGAAAGTCTGTATTACTAACTTGTTGAGTTCATGATATCCTGCCTTGTGGCACCAATTGTAAACCTTTGTTTTTCTAAAATAAAGTAACTGAAAACAAAACATTTCATTGTTATGTTTACTGTGTATCTTTTGGTTTGAGATACAAATAATTTTCTGTTCAAAGACAGCAACTAAGATTGATCTTCCACAAAGTCGCTTTTTTCCTTCATTAAAATACTAAGTTACTCATAATTAGAGAAACAGAATTTGGAGTTTAAATAGAATTGGGAGAATTTAGAGTGCAAAGTGTAAAACCTGCATTTTACAGGTTTGACATATTTTGTATTTGTGAAACACAGTAATTTTTAAATACTAATTTCTCCAGAAGGATATCTCACCCTCTTTTTACAGTTTAAAGCTAGAACTAAATTTGAATCCTTAAGTTTACTGCATAATTTTGATCTTGGATACAGCAGAGCTGTGACTCCTCACTTCTATTGTCAGCGAAGTGGCAATTTAAAGCCTAAGTTTTTTTATTTCTCTTTTCAAATAGCATCAAGTGGGGAGAATATACTATGAAAAAACAAGAAAGCTTTATAGACAAATGTTAATGCTTTAATAGTTTTCATATTTTATTGTGAAGGGCATGTCTATTTTGGGGGAATGACTGGCAGAGGACTAGCAGCCCCCAAAGTGGACCCACCGCCTTGGAAACTTGCCCAGGCAGCAGTTACCATGTTCGTCTCTAGTCAGAGTGACAGCACGCTCAGCTGCCTATGGACGCCATGTGAGTGTGTAGGACGCCCCTGCTGTTGCAAAGCGCCATGACACTGCATGGAGGCTGCACCGTGCTGCCTGGGTTCACGGTCTTGGCGTCTTCACAGTCTTGCACCATTACTCACCTGTGTAAAGTTAGGGCAGCCGCTTAATGTCCCGGCTCCCGAGCTGTCCGTAATTTGAAGACAGCCCTGGATTGTGTCTCACTGGATTGTGAAGTTTGAATGGGTTACACACACAAGGCATACCTACAGCAGCGACTGGCTTCTAGTAATAGCTCAAAAACTCAACATGTTTTTCAGATTTGATTTTTCATCTCATGTAGAATTTACATCATTTTTAATCAATTTATTATTATTTTATTTGTACGTTCAATCCCTATACATCATTTAGATGGTCAAGAGACTGCCCAGCATGATATACACCTCAGACCAGCCCAGTTGAGAATACTATACATGTCGTCATCAACAGGTAACGAACCATATCTGTGTCTCACAAATGTCTTACCTGTCTATTTTTTTTTTCCCGAAATTTCCAGAAAAGTCAAGTTAACACTGTAAAGTCCTAATATGTTTGTATGTGCTGGGCAGTGGGCTGCTGGGCAGTGAGAGTTCCCTCATGGGCAGGATCGAAGCTGGACAGCCTTTTGTTACCACTTCCTTCAGGGTACAGAGTCTGAGTCCTTAGACGTTAACACTGACGCGCCTTCTGATCCCATCACATGACAGTCCTTTCTCTTCCCACTGGAAAGATCCCACTAAACTTGTGGCCAGCTATAAAACAGCACATTTTAGGTGAAAGAAACAGTTCAGTGAAGCTGAAGAATTTATAGTAGAAAATGCTTTTCAATGTTTTTTATTCAAATTTCTCACATGAGTTTTGTATCAGTTACCTTCTTAAGGTAACTATGGTCAGTTTTTGATTTATGTAAGACTAGTTTTCCATCAAAATTGGTCATTACATCAGTTTCTGAATGTATGTTTGATGGTACCACTGGAAAATCTAAACTATAAGAAGCAGGCAATAAATACACTTAATGGTAGATTTTAATGACTCAATGACATTTAATGTTGGGCTGTTAGAAAAGTCAAGACATACTTCTGTTTTTCTGGGCAAAAACGTGTTATGACTTTTCAGGTGACCCTAGTTAAAATTGTAAAAGTATATACAAAAATAATCTGTATACCTAATCTCTGTTAAATTCTTTTGTCTT